ATTTGGGACAGTTAGAAAGAAAGCCTGAGCTCATCCAGGTGCTCAGCACAGGCTCTGCCACACGCACCCTGCGGTGCAGTTTGGCAGGACACCAGCAGCCCACCAGACTCCTCCATGCCCCACCTCACAGGGCTCTCAAGAGATGATGTTTGCCCAATGGCAAGTGGACAAATTGGCCAATTCTCCTTCACAGAATCTGTCTGCCAGTCCTATGCTGCTCTGGCGGGCACAAGGGATGCCAGCAACATCCCAACTTGGCACAGCTCCTCTTGGAAAGATTATTCATTTTCTGCTCCTGGCTTCTAGGCCATAAAGAGGAATCACAGGCCAAGCAGACTTCTCCCTGCTGAGCTCACTATATTTCCATACCACTGCAAGTCTACAGGCTCTGAATCTTCCCGTGGCCCAGGCAGCACCAGCCACTGTCTCTGTCTCAGGAACAGTTTGGAGCACAGGCTCCTCACATTTTTATCTGCAAAACACTGGGGCTCCAGAACAGAATTACAACATATACAAGCACCTGTACCAGGGTGCTCAGGCTACAGATGTCCAAATACAAAGCTTCAAAACAACAGAGAGGACCAGAAAGGTCCTTATTGTGCTTCTTGCCAGCTATGGCTGACATACCCACTGCCTTGCTGGATTATGTAAAGGCCTTGGAGACAGGAGCAAAGGATGGAGCATTTAATGGCACAGACTTTCTAATGAGATATCCAGCTGGTTTATGAATCAGGAAGCTCAGAGAGAGCTCACAGCAGCAGACATGAGCCAACCTTGCTGTTCTTCTGAGAAATCTTTCTCACAGAGATGTGCAGGACAGGCACTAGAGCTCTGCCAGCTTGTGAGATTAAAACACTGCAATCGCTGCTTTTCTTCCCTGATGCATCTGAGCACAAGGGAAGGGACACACTCCACAGCTTTAGGGCAAACATTAGAAATGTGTCTCTGGACAGTGTGCCTCACCAGGCTCTGCCCCATTTATTGATGGAGCAGTTCTTGGTGTAACTACCAGACAAATCACTCAGCTCTTAGGCAAAAGAACGGAGAAGTCCTCTGTACCCACACACTGTTAATTAAAAATTTTTAGCCAAAGAGAATTAGGAGGAGCTGGAAATGTCAAGGTAGTTAATCAGAGCTCCATTGCTTCAGTTTGTATTCTGCTTTAGGCAATCAATATTCCCTTCTTTCTCAGCTACCTTATCTGAAAAAAATGTGGTAATACATGACTCACAAGCAGGTTGGGACAGTGAATTTGGCTTTTACTTACTGCACAGAGTGCCCCAACATGCTGTAGAGTATTAGGAATGGTTACTATGTGGGAGAGGGAACTACTTAGAAAATGGTCTCTTTGATCTGAATTCTCTCTTGCTATCAAAGTGTTGGGATAACCTAGGGCCCACATTTATCAAGCACTCTGGCACTGTTCTCAGTGGAATCAAGTGTGACACAAAATTCTTTAAACTGTTACCAAGGCCTTATGCAGGATCCCTAGGAAGTCAATGGGAACTGTTGGATTTCTGTGTGAAGGTAAAATGATGTAGCTAAAGGAAGCTAGCTGGAAGAACAAGAAAAACAGCCAATGGAAAATTCAGCCAACTACATACAAATTTGTGTCACTGGCATAGCAACACAAATGGAAATTCAGAGATAATCTGAACTGTTACTGCTGTCTTTGGAGTGACAGATAAACAATGGTCAGTACAAAACCCCTGCATGATAGACAAGTTATCAGCAAGTTGGAGACAGGGGTAAGAAAAGCATTTGAGAGGTCTGTTTGTTACTGCAACTTTGTGGGGCACAACAAGCTTTGCCTTCCTGCCAGAAATACCTACGCTGAAAATACACTTCACAGGATTTAACTCCATGTGTTTAAATGTGTCCCTCCTCATGGTAGATTAAGGTACATTTTTGGGTAGCGTCATTCATTGTTCAGCAGGGCATCTTTAAGCACAAAAAGTTCCTCATAAACATTTGAATATCAAAGTCTAATACTGGTTTTCTGGTGTGCTCCTGAAAACAGGTTTTCTCAAAATCCTTTTTCTTACCATGGTTTATAAAACAAACCTAACTTGTCTGTTCCTCCCCTTTACTAGAGACAATGTCCTATTCTAGCCATCCCACCTAATGGGTAAAGCAAAGCTTCACGTTCTTCCTCACTTTGATGGTTTGGGATCAGTTTCTTATGACAAATCACAGGTTCTGGAGCCCTTTGTCATCAGAGGCACAGCTGTTAGCTCACCAATAACATTGAAAGGCTTTCTGGCATGTATTTTGCAGTCCTCAGGGCTTTTTAAAAGAACAAGCTTCATAACTTTTGACATGTTGGGTAAGAGGGGGTGGATGCAAAGGTAAACAGTCACACTGTGGGAGTTGCCAAATCAAACCCAGGGATCCTGGCAGGAAGGTGAGGGAGGGAGAACGACTGTGCTGGACCAACACTCAGAGCAGAGAGAACTCTGACACTGAGGCTTCAGCCTATCCCAAAGTAACTCTAACAACCATTAAATAGCAAGCCTGCTTTGATACTGAATGCATAAAACATTGCTTTTTGCTGTCAACTTTGTAAACCCTTTCACAATGTTTGTCTCCAGTGTGTTTCCCTCAGAGTTCCTATATCTGAATAGGAACTTTAACTTTTTTACTGCATTTCAGGGCTGGATATGGCTCTGAGCTGGGCAGAAAAGCCATTTCTCATCACAGAATCCCTTTTCTGTTTCTTTGCCCTTCCTTTTCCAGTGTTTTGATGTCAGGATGAAAATTACGAATAAATGTTAAAGAACATGTTCTTACTTAGAGACATGATGTGCACAATTTCTGATGAAAAATCCCATCTTGACTGCCACATTAGACAAGTTAGAAATACAAAAGGACTTCCTGCTCTGACATAAGAAGGTTAGTCTGATTTTCTGGCATAAGTATATTTAAAATTCATGAGTCTGTCCCTTACCGAAAATTAGAATCTGGATCAAAACTAAAGAAATGGTAGCAGAAGTTGTTTAGAAGTATTCTTAGTTCCTTTCCTGCAATAAATTTGGGCAATATTCTAAGTTTTATCTGTCATCATGGCATATGTATTATTCAAAAGCTGGGGCATTAAGAAAAGCAAGAAGGGAGGTTTATTGCTCTCACACATGCAAATCATGCAAATTAGCAGCTCTGGGTAGAAATCTCCAGCTCCTGATGGCAACAGAGTTTTCTGCTCACTCTGCAAGTAAGGTCACATGAATGTTTTGAACAAAAGGGCTTTTTTTTTTTATTTCCCTGTCTGATATTTTTACACTGTAATCCTGAGTGTTAGGTCTATTTTTGACAAAAGTTGTTTTTGTGAGCTTATCCAGTCCTTAGGTGAAGAGTTCATGTTTTGTGGTTTTTTTTTCCTTAACACTGGGTCATTTTGTTCTCCAAGAGTTCGTTCAGGCCTCAGATAAAGCCAACAGAAGAAACAACTAAGGCATAGAATTTTAAGCAGCCTAGAAAAATCATTGCTCTTGACCAATTGCATTATCTTATTTTTTGACTGTACAGGGGGAGAATGAAGGGGGAAAAGAAGTTTCTTATAGCTCTTTGTACTTATTTCTATGGATTTTCTTATTTACTATATAAAAGCCTCAAACAACGTTTTCTCTCTTTTGCAAGTCACTCCTAAAGAGAAATATCTGACCTTTTATCCTACAATTAGAACATGTTGTTAAGGTAATTTAATCACCCAAAGTAGCAATATCTACCCTCAAGCAAAAAAAAAAAAAAAAAAAAAAAAAAAAAAAAAAATTAAAAAAAAAAAAAGCAGGAAAAAGCAGAAAAGATGTCACTTTTTAGTGTATTAAAGGAAACACAAAAATAACTTATCCTCAGATAAGTTTTGAACTATAAATGGAAACTACCACCTTCACCAGTTCTAATGGGATTATTTAGTGCAAACACATCCCTTAGAGACCACTTTTAGGAACCTGTTTCTCACTCTTGAAAACTCTTATGAATTTAGGCCACAATCCCAACCTCCTTTTCATTGCCCTCTTTCTGGTCAGCCACTGGTTTGGCAACTCTGTGTTGGACAAATGTGCTGAAATCCTGGAAACTAAAATTACTTATTTTATGCAAATGAGGGATGCTTTATGTGAAAAACACCAATCACTTGATTTTTAAAATCTTAAAAGTTTATTAGTAATAAAATAGTTATAAAAAAATAAAATTAGAGTAATAAAAATTTTGACAATGAGGATTAGGACACTACGAGGCAATAAAAAGCAAAGAATTGTGGATGTCCGGATGTTTTTGGGAACTAAGCTGCCAAAATCATGCCTTGCAAACAAAACAATAACCATTAAAAGCAATAGCCTGTTGCATATTCATGTATCTCATACATGATGCATAAATTCCTTGAAAATTAAGAATTTTTCTGGTTTTTGTCAACTTCTTCCCCTTAATCCTGGTGGTTCCATAAAGATGGAGAGAGGGTGGAAGGACGTTTGTCTTTTCTGATAAGGAGGCAGTAACTCTTTATGTGCCCTGTCGCTGTTATCTCTGTATGAAGAGTTTCTCAATTATCTCATCTCTTTCTTGAGCTAGTTAAAAAGTATCTTACATGGCATAGTTTCTATTTTAACATTGTGTTATAACATAAAAATATATTTAACACACTACTTAAGAGAATTAATAGAGCCTAACTGTTGCTATAGGACACGAGAATGCACAACACGAGCCACTTGCTACTTTGTAAGGTAAAAGAGAAAGTTTATTTTCTGACTCCAACTTTTATACTTTTCCAAAGGTGACAGTGGACTGGAGAGTGAATGGGCCACCTCTCCAAAGACATTGGACCAACCACTAGTACATCAAGTCTCTCTACCCCCATGAAGGAATGCAAAACAAAATGTTATTTACAGAAACTGTGTGGGAAAGTTTCCCAATAGAATGTAAACTCAGAAGGCTTTAGAAAACTCAAGAATCAGGGCGACATCTAACTTTCTAACATACACATATAATATTCATTGCAATATTTGTGAAAAGCCAATCATAAAATATGCACTTTTCACACTTTACAAGGGCACGTAGCAATAGGACAAAAGGGGAAATGGCTTCAAACTAAAAAGTGAGTAGATTTAGATATTGGGAAGAAATTCTTCCCTGTGAGGGTGGAGATGCCCTGGCAAAGGTTGCCCAGAGCAGCTGAGGCTGAAGTGTTCAAGGCCAGGTTGGGAAGGGCTTGGAGCAACCTGATCTGGTGGAAGCTGCCCATGGCCGGGGGGATGAAACTAGATGAACTTTTAACTCCCTTGCAACCCAAACCATTCCGCGCATCTGTGATTCTGCTCTTAACTTCCCGGCACGACCTGTAACGAGAACCACGGGCTAAGAAACACACTATCCTTACAGTGATGCGCGATTTTCCTATTTATTAGCTGCGCACAGCCCAGCTCAGCTGAAACGTTCAGCTGCCCTCTCCCTGCGGAGCGGGGCCCGGGAGCCGCCGCCTCGGAGCCGCCGCCTCGGAGCCGCCGCCTCGGAGCCGCCGCCTCGGAGCCGCCGCCTCGGAGCCGCCGCCTCGGAGGGCGTTTTGGCGGCCATTTCGCCGCCTCCCTCAGCCCAGCTCCGCCGCCTCCCTCAGCCCAGCTCCGCCGTGGCAGCCGGGCGGGGCGCGGAGCGGCGTGAGGGGCGGGTCGGGGGCAGCGCTTGCGCGGCGGGGCCGGGGCCGGGGCCGCGGGAAGTTCGGGGCCACGTGAGGCGGCCGCGGGAACGGCGCGTCCCTCAGACGGCTCCGGAGTCCCGCCGCGCTCGCCTCTGCAGGCCCGCTGCTCGCCCGCCCTCGCCATGGCCCCCGCCGAGATCCTCAGCGGCAAGATTGTCTCTGGGTACGTAGCGGGGCCCGGTTCCCTCGGGCGGCAGAGTCCCGGAGCCGCGGGGTTCTGCTCTGCGCTGTGGCCGGGGAGCTCAGAGGTGCCTCGGCGGCCCCCGGGTGTGCCGGCAGCGGGATGGGGCTGGAGGCGGTTTTCACTCTGCCACTGCGCACCAAGCAGATTTGGAGACACCCTAAACTTTTTCACTGCGTTGCAGCCAAAGCTGGCTGTAAAGCGGGAGTTTCTGGACGAAGTGCGGTGTTAAAGGTCTGGAGGAGAGTGCAAAGTGCTGTCGGTGCTCCCCAGGAACAGCGCTGTGCCTGCTGGGGTCTCTTCGGCGCCTCAGCATCGATGGGATGAGAGATGTGACCCATACCCCCTGACCTACAGCTTCTGTGTGTGCAGGCTGGGCTGTTGGGATGCTATATGAGCAGGAGTTGGGAGCATGTGCTTTAGGTATGGGCTCTGTTTTCATACTCTACAAGCACTGACTGCTCCTCTTTAAAGCAAAATGAGTGTTCACAAGTCTCCTGCCAAAGCTATTTAAAAGATTTGGGAGACCTTGAAGGAAAAAGAATACTCATACTTTTCAGCAGTTACTTAGCTGGCAAGCCCTGGGTATAGGTGAGCCTCCATAGCATCTTTTAAAAAAAAAAAATCTTTGCTTGTTTTTCCTGCTGCCACTCAACATACACATTTGGTAAGAAAGCCAAATAAATTTCCCTAGTCCTGAGGGAAATTCAGTGTAGTGATTCTGTGTAGTTATATTCTGTGGAAACAGGGTTTAGTTAGGTAGGTTCATTGGGTATCCCCTGCCAATATAATCAGGGAATTCTGACAGAAAATTTACACTTGAAAAGGTATAAAGTAAACTCAGCAAAGCAGTTAGTCCTCCTCTTAGGTATTGCTCGTAGCTTTTGCTTTACATAGAATGCATGGGTTTGGAAAAACAGCTACATCTAACCAACAGTAGGCTTAATGTGCCTTGAATTTGAATATTCATGTGGAAAGGCTGCTTGCATGTTTTTTACCTGGTAGTTTTGGAGCCAGTACCACCTGTGTGTGGCAGTCTCTCAGTCTTACCTGCTTCATTCCACCTGGTGCTTTTGGCACTGTAATGCCTGTGCTTGCTGCTGGTGGGACTTTGTGATTTGCCTGTTGTAGGTTTCTTTCCTGTCATAGAAAGTCACCCTGAAGTGCAATAGGTCCTGGAAAGATGCTAGTTTGGGTACAATGATAATTCACATTAAAACGTTTAGCTTCCTTGGCATGGCATGTTGCATTACTTAATTTTAAAGATAAAGGGGTGAAATTTTTTATTTGTGTTTGTTTTCTGTACTACAGTAGCAACTATAAACTACCAGTTCTCAGAGGACATTCATGATGTGCAAATACTTGGGAAGAGGCATGAGCTTTTCATAGGCACATGCAGGAGAAAGGTTTGATTAACTTCCAGCACATCTCTTAAGGTGTTTGGCTGAAGTCTGACTTTCAGAGTCATCAAATCTTGATCTTAAGAAACCACAAAATGGAAAAATAATTGCAGTTGCTCAGCTGTCCTTCAGTTCCTTTATTTGTGCTGTATTTATGTTCAATATAGCAAAAGCATCACCTGCTCCCTATGGGCCTTAGGTAGTTCTGCCTTTTTCTGGCAGAGTACTTGAAGGAGTCATGAGGAATTGGGCTGTCCACCCTGGAGACACCTGTCCCTTTCTTCCAGACCCCTGGAGAAGTGCTGGTCCAAGGGATTCTCACTGTCCAGAGTTCACCTCCAGGCCCAGAGTCTGGCAGCAGCAGGCGTGATAGGGATGTGGTTTTTCTAGGAATTTACAACTGATCCGCCTTTTGTAGAAAGGGAACGTCCCTGACTTTGCATCAGCTGCAAAACGTTTTTGGTTATTGTCTTGTAGGGGGTGGATTTTGTTACTTTACCCTTTAATCAAGAAAAAGGTTTATTTGTAAGTTAGTCAAATATTGACAAATGAGTTGAATCGAACAAGTAGTGTTCAGCTATGTAATGCTGGGTTTCTGTGTGTGTTTTAAATCAAAGCTCATAAGTATTGTGAACTTTCTCCTCCAGCCACCAAGCACTCCTTCCTCAAAATAGAAAAAATACCTAATTCACAATCATGCCAGCTATTTAAACAAAAATCAGGTAGATACTGGCATTCTTGTTCTTGTGAGACATATAAAAAGAGAATAAATACTTTGACATAGTTTCCTTGCCTCTATAAATAAGGAAAACTTGATGAAGTGATAAAGCTAGTTCACACCTTTGGAAGGCTCAAAAGAGGTACAAAGGAAAATGGACATTTTCAGTGGCTTTGAGTATTACCTGTGAGGATGGAAAATGTGTTTAGGCTGGGCATGGGAAGGAGAGCACAGCAGGCATTGTTTTCTCTGTGGGATTTTTGTGTTGATGTTAATGTATCAACATCAAAATGCATCTAGTCTGCTTCTGTCAGTACAAACAAGAAGCTTACATAGTCTGTGAAATATATTAAGTATTGGATGGGTTCTGCATCAGTCTGAGTTGGCTGGTTACCTCAGGATGGCTTTCCTCTTCTCTGAGTGGCTGTTAGATTTTGCTACAAGTTAAATTTGCCTCATTGGCAAATGAGTTACGAAAGATGAGTTATTGTATAACAGTACTGTAAACAAATGACTGATGGGAGGAAGAAAAGCAGTGCTTTAAATATGCAGGATATGGTGGGTTGAAGGTAATAAAAATACAATATTCCCCACTTTTATTGCTGGTATTCCCAGAAGAAAAAGCAATCTCTGTTTCTGTGTCTAAAGAGATAATCAGAGCAAAACATGATAGTGACTCTTTACAGTTTATGTGCCCTGCAGTGAGCTGTGTGTTCAGGCTTTACCATCTGAAAGAGCCCAGGTGTGGAAACCTCTGGCTAGGCCTGAATTGGTTGGTAGGACCAGGAGTGGACCAACATTTCTGCTCTGGAAGAGTGGCTGATGAGTTGTGCTGGCAGGGAAGATGTAGCACCCCTCACAGTCCCTAGGGGTGGGCCAGGTAGTGCTTTGGGTTTAGAGTGCTCAGTAAAGTGGTGATCAGGTAACTGAGGTAACTGATCCAGGTTAACTGGAGGTAACAGTGCAGTAAACAACTCTTTGGCCTTATTTGGTTTTTTTGGGTTCCTGTTGTAATTCCAGGTGAATCTAGTCTGAAGTGAAAAAAAAATCCCCTGATCTCTGAGCTTTCTTTTACCAGATCCTACCCACAGTGTTTCAGGCTTGCACTGAAGTGTCCCACACTGTGGATGGTCTGAGTTAAAGTGAACTGCCAGTGCTATTGGTGGCCCCAAATACAAGCAAGAACCCTTGAGTTCAGTGCTGTGCAGACACAGTTTAAAAAAATGGGACCCTGCTCTAAAGAGTTGATAAGAGAGAAGAAAACATTCTCCCTGTCTGGTGGAGAACAGGGCCACAAATCTGTGATCTGTGCACATCAGCACCAGCTTGCAGGGAAGGCAAAGAACATGTGGGGACTGCTGTGTCCCCCTTTGTGGAAAATCTGAGTAAAATCTCAATATCATTTCTTCAGAAGGCAAACCTTTGTAGATAGGGCCTAGAGTATTGTCTGGAGTGCTTGCAGCCCTCAGTCCAAAGGTGGATTGAGTCCTTACCTATTGTTCCTGTGTTTTCCTCTGATTAAATCACCTGATAGTAGGGTATTATATGCAGTATTTTGGGAAGCAGGCCTGCATGCATGTTGCAGCATGGGAACATGGTATCATAACTCATGTTTGGGGCAAACTCTCCTAAGTTTTAAAGACTCAGCTTTGAATTAAACTCTGTTGTTCTGTTGTCAGTCATCCACATTTGCAAAGTGCCTCAATTGCTGCCTGTCTCTCAGACCCACCTTGGGCTGAAATTCTGGACATGATGAAAAAGAATCTGAAGAGAGCTCATGCATGTATTTGTGCTGACACAACCAAAAAGGTGGTTAAAAACCCTTGTGAGTGTGGAAGTTGTAGGAAGCAGCAAGCATTTTTCCTAGGAGATAATGACAGTGTGCCAGGAGCATGCAGTGGTGGAGCATGAGACGAGAGGGTGGGAGACATGTGAACTCATTCCAGCTCTAAATGATGTCTTCCTGCAACTGGAGCCATCTGCTGAATTGCCAGCAGTGTTCAGATGGTCTTTCCCAAGGTATTTCCTGTCCCAGTGCCACTCATTGAGCCAACCCGTGACTTCCTTCAGGAGAGATGCCTCTGTGCCTCCTTTGGGTGCAAGTGGGATGATCTGTGACATTCTTCTTTGCAGTCCCCTCACAGCATTTTAAGATGAGGCAGTTGTCCTGAGCTAGGCTGTGCTACTGTGGTGGTTTGGAGATGGGAAAGCTTGTTTTTCCACATTATGGTGTTGGTCATGGGAGCAGCAGGAGGTGAGCAGTGGCAGTGCTGTAAGGAGGGATGGCTGCAGGGACAGCAGCTCTGACCAGGATGCTGCAGGACCTGGGGAGGACCATCAGCCTCATGCAGCTGTTTCTGCAGGGCTGCAGCAGGAGCATTTCTGCTGCATGTTTGTGAAACCCTTGGGGAATCTGTGATCCAGGTAGTAAAGCCAAAGCCTCCCCTTTGGGGACAGGCCTCTTCTGGAGCATCACTCTCTTCGAGGAGGTGTTTGCCAGGTCCTGAGTTTGGCATTATTTGCATAGACCCTTGACCCTGTTACAGAAGGGACAGAAACACAGCCTGGTGTCATCTTCAGTATGGTGCTGTGTGTGTCCTCACCAGCAGAGCAGAGTCCATAATCCCACAGGAGGGTGTGGGGTTC